CCTTTGTAATTGCATTTTTCCTTCTCCTCCACAATGAGAGTCAGTTAACCATTAATACCTTCTCACACTGCCTGAACAGGAGGGTTTATCTTTTTGCTATTTTATTTTTCTTTGATTAACAGCCTTTTCCTCCTTCTCCTTTGTTACTCACACCTGCATTAGCAGGGCAGTTCATGCTTCAGTCCCTCGCAAACATCACAGCTTCACATCAAGCACACAGAGCAGCCAGAGAGCTCTGCTCTGTTCATGTGCTCTGGAAAAGGCAAAGGTCTTCCCTGGGGTGCTGCGTGCACTGGCAGCTGTTTGCATCCCTGGAACAAGGTTCATGAAAGCCCCATTAAAAAGGACACAGAGCCTTGGTGCCAAGAAGACCAGGACAGTTGACAGAGGAGTTAAAAATGAGATGCCAGCATGAGATCCACCTGTCAGATTTTTTTAAATTGATTTTATAATGCCCAAAATTGATGGGGACCCACAGATAGGGCTTGCGTGACTCGATGCTGGGAAGAGGTTTCAGCAGGTGAGATGAGTCATATCTGCTGCTCCCAAATACCTTCACCTTGCACCAGAGCACACATTGCAGCTGTCAGTGGCAGAGAGGGATTGTAGGGAAGGATAGTGCAGCTGGTGTGCACATGTGTGCCCGTGTGTGCAGGGGGCCCAAAGAATCCAGTACTGGTGTAACTCTCACCCATTGTCCCTTTGCTTCTTGCTGAGGTGAGAAATCAACACTGTGATTATGGCTCAGACTCACTTCTTAGTGAAGTAATATCTTCCTTCCAAACCGTGGACTCTCAGTAGGAGTAACCCCACAGTGGGAAAGGCTCGAGTGAGCTCAGCATGCCAAGCTACTCTGGTGTTAAAGAACAGTTGCTCTGTACCCGGACAGATGTGCACCAATGTCTCTGGGCTCCCCCTGCTTTTGAATACTCCAAAAGCTCTGAATATTCCAAAGGCTCACATTCCCTTTGGTATCAAATCAATATCAGGCCAGGGAACTCATGAAAAAGCATTGAACAGACCAAAGCAGGAGCTTGAGCTGACCCTGAACTGAGCAGCTGACCAGGGACTGTCTAGTGGAATCCAGAAACAGAACAACAGTGTGAAGAGAAGCAATAACTACTACTTTCCTCCAGCTGTAAAAAGAAATAGCTCCAGCCTGATAATGGGTACAGGATCTGTTGTGCAAATCAGGCATGTTTATCACCTGTGTCATCTGCTGGTGGACACTGGAAGGGTAGCACAGAGCAGGTTCTCCCAAATCCCTGTCCTGGTGTACACAGCTGTGTCCTGTCTCTGAACACCAAAAAGGGATTTTTGTTTGCTTT